TGTATAGTGGTGTCAGTGTGTGTACTGTGCCCTAGTCCAGCTGAATGCTGAGCCGTGCCTGGGCATGGCATGGGGCGATCACAATTGTCAAATGAACTCTGAATTCAGGTGATGATTGGGTATTTCAGATGAGGGATCGGAGAAAAGGACATCTTGTAGATTTTTGATGATGTGTACATGTATACCCTTTTTTCCCTATGGTAGCCTACTACCCAGAGTGCAAATTACACCATGCTGCTTGTAGGGTCTTATTTCCACCAAGGGGTGCAGGTTTTACTAGTACAGATGCTACTGCTACAGTCAAGTCATTGAGATACAGAATAATGAGGCTACACAGAAGTGCAGGAAACACATGAAAGCAGCTCATGAGCCATAATAAATCGAAAAATACCCTGTTGGTCAGCCTGTGCAATCCCCTAGAGTCCAGTGAACACTCTTCTAGTTAAAAGTGGAAAGCTGGGACCTCGGCTCACGGTGGGCTGTGGTGTGGAGCATCGAAATGTGACAAAAGTAGAATGAAATAAATGCCATCGCATGACACTGATGAAAGTTTCCCCAACCGGTTGAGACTCTCTCTCTCCCTCTCTAGGTCTATATATAGGTCCCTGAGCAGATGTGTTCATTGACAGCTCCAAAGAGGTTAAGGTCAACCAAAAGAAAAACACCATAACTTTTAGCCATTTGACTTTGTAAGGTCGTTGAACAGTGGTGTTGTCATTATTTCTCCTGTTGCTGTTGGTCATAACACCGTTCTGATGACACATTATATAGTGTTGTGCTGCCAGAGCTCGATTAACCTTGTCCATAAATAGCCTATATTATGGCCTTATTTTTGTTGATTTTGCCCATAAAATGTGATGTCTTATCTGTGCCATGTTGTTGTATAGTTGTCTTTGTACTCACGCAAGTGCACAGAACTAACTTGGGACAATGGACTTGCAAGACAGCCGACCAAATTTCAGACGTGCCAGAAATCCATCCTGTCCTCTGGGAGCTAGATCATTGGTCATTCAGGTGATTGATGGTACAGAGAGATCTCCAGTCAGTTGTTTGATTAGCTTGGTGATGCTGTCACACACCAATCACTAAATGTTTGTCTAAATATTGATAGCTTATATTTCATCTTGAGATCAAATCACCTCTGTTAGTTTTCAGTGCGTTTAACTCGTTGTTTTTACATTCATTCAGATATATTGCCTTTAAACATTCATTCAGCTTAGGTGGTCCACAAAAACACTTAGCCACTGCGCCTAAGCCTTTCTATGCTAGAGAAAACCCAGATTTACACTCCCAGGTATTACTAATTGCATATAGAATCAGCTTGAGAGAATCTGGGCCTCTGTCTGTATTGGCTACATGGGTTGAGATTTATGGGAAGCAAACATGCCAGTGTGCACTGTCACTATATTCATCCAAGACTCTTATAAATGAATCCTATGCTATATGATTTTCACTACGTGTAAGCTGAATTTTCCACATAGGTGCTGTTTTTAAAAATTGTAAATCATATTTAGATCATTTGAGAACCTTTTAGAATAGAGGCTGCTGACTCTTTTTTCTTCTTACATTTTTATAGTAGCCAGTTCAGAGTCAGTCAGCCATGGTGGGAGGTGGCTTATTTGACATAGCAAGATAGGTGCTTGGAGTTATGTTTGGGCATCCAGCAGACTTCCCAGTGTCTCAAGTTACTTCCATCATTCAAAATAGCACATTCTCACATTCTCCAGCTAAAGCCATCAAGGCCAGAGCCTGAGCTCCCCTAACCAGGCCTTGAGGCTGTTTTATCAACTACTAATCTAATGCTCACTGGTGGTGGTTTTAGAATCATAACTCTTAATGACAATGTCAAAATACCTTTCAAACTCAGGCACAGACAGACAAACATACAGGTGACTCTGGGTGTGTTCTCTTGTTAGTAAGTGGTATTAGTTTCAAGGGAAGTTCCAGAGATTGCAGGACTTTGTTAAAGCAGACAATGGAAATACAAGGTATAGATAGTCACTTTTGTATAATTTCAAAGCAATAGCGCAAGTCATCCAGGCCTTTGTCTTTAAGCCATGCTTGAAGTTTGACCAACTGATCTGATTCATCTGGGTTCATAAATAAATATAACAGAGTATCATTTGTGAAGCAATGTAATTTTATGACATTTTCCTAATAATATTGGCTAAAGGAAGTATGTATAAAGAAAAGAGAATGGGGCCTAACACAGAGCCCTGTGGAACGACCTAACTAACTTTAGTCTGCACAGAGGATTCATCATTAACATGAACAAATGAGAGCCTTTCTGACAAATAAAATTTGAAACAACTTTTAGAGTTTAGAAGAAATTACGAGTCATCCAGGTCTTTGTCTTTAAGACATGCTTGATGTTTGACCAACTGATCTGATTCATCTGGGTTCATAGATAAATATAACTGAGTATCATCTGCACAGCAATGGAAACGTATGCCGTCAAAACTTGGTTTTAGGGTTCAGGTTAGGTATTGGGTGTTAGGGTTATGATAATAATAATAATAGTTTATTTATATAGCACTTTACAACTCCGCAGGAGCACAAAGTGCTTCACAAAAGGACACTAATACAAGACAATACTAAAACAATAGTCAAGATCATTAACATGAACAAATTTGAATCTATCTGATAAATGAGATTTGAACCAACTTAGTGCAGTTCATTTAATCCCAAAAACATGTTCAAGTCTTGGTAATAAGATGCTGTGATCAGTGGTGTCAAAAGCAGCAGTGAGATCTAAAAGGACAAGTATGGAGATGAGTCCTTTGTCTGATCAGGTCAGCTGGTCAAACTTCAAGCATGTCTTAAAGACATAAAGGCCTGGATGACCTGCAACTTCTTACTTCTAAACACTGACAAAACTGAAGTCATTGTGCTTGGGCCTGAAAATGTTAGAAATCTGCTATCTAATCATGTCGTTACTTTAGATGACATAGCTCTCGCCTCCAGTACTACTTTGAGGAACCTGGGTCAAGAGTAGGCTTTTTGAGTAGAGGTTTAATTACAGCAGCCTTAAAAGACTGTGAAACATAACATGTTAATAGAGAAAGGTTAATCAGATTTAATACGGACGTGTTAATTAGGGGCCAGACGTCGTTGAGCAGCCTGGTCGGGATGGGGTCTAAGAGACATTTTGATGATTTAGATGAAGCAATTGTTGAGGTCAACTCAGAGAGATCAATGGGAGAGAAGTAGTCTAAGTATAAATGAGGTCTGACAGATGTTTCTAAAGCCATTGTACTTGATGGCATGCCTGTAAGAGTTGTGGGAATTATTTGATTAATTTTTTCTCTAATAGTTGTGATTTTATTTGTAAAGAAGCTCATGAAGTCATTGCTGCTGAGATCTAAGGGAATGTTAAGCTCAACAGCACTGTGGCTCTTTGTCAGCCTGGCTACAGTGCTGAAAAGAAACCTGGGGTTGTTCTTATTTTCCTCTATCAGTGATGAATAAAATTTGGTTCTGGGACTATGAAGGGCTTTCTTATATGTTATTAAACTATCTTTCCAGGTTAGGAAAAACTCTTCTGACTTAGTGCAGCACCACCTCTTTTCCAGTTTTCATGATGCCTCCTTTAGGGAGCAGAGCTGCGAGCTCTATCACGGGGCCTCCTCTGTTTCACTGCCTTCTTTTTCAGAGGGGCAACAGTATCAAGTGTTCTACACAGAGAGGCTGCAGTGCTATCAACAAGATTATGGACTTGTGTTGATATGATCATAAAGATGACTCAAAAGATTTGAAGTGTTGCCTCCTTTCACAGCAATTTGTTTTCTGCTTGTTCTGCGGACAGGGTAACCACCTTCAATTAAGAGTCCATCAGGACTGTTGTAAAAAACAAAATATGCCCACACTTTGGACTTAGTGTTCTTAGATGGATGAAAATTCTCCAGAGGTTGTCACTCAGTTTTTCATTGCATTTCGCTATATTTTCACTGACCCAAACAAACCCATATTGCATACTGTGCTTGTGCCCGAGAACCTCAAACTATCTTTGGTTGATTCTGGACAGCAAGCTCGAAAATTCTCGGGGAGAATAGAAGGGTTTGCAGTTGATCTTTAAGAATTTCTAAGTCTGTGTTACATGTCCTCTGTAGCACCATGTCCTCTGTTGACCAGTCACAGTTCTGTTGTCTCTTTGTAGTATCTCTGAAGCCCTGATGAGTAGATGCAGTTTTGCGGAGACACACAGCAGCTATAGTGTAACCCTTTAACACAGAACTGTAAATCTAGCTCTACTGGCTTAAATCCTATTTCACTGTCTCTTGACAGTGTCTATTTGTATTATTATTGTTAAAGTTAAGAAACTATATAATGTATTAAATATAATAAATGTGTTTTTGCTGAAGTGGTTCACAGAAATGAGTGAAGCGGCCAGTAAAAATTCAAGCTTGCTAAGTTCAGGGTTACAACTAACAGTTCTCTTCCTTATCACTTACTCATTAACCTAAAAAAAAGTGATAAAACATGACCACTGCAGTTTCCTAGAGCCCCAGGTAATATCAGCCCATGTCATCTTCTCTTAGACTAACAGCCCAAGTACATACTGTATATATGCTACTGTGTTGTAATATGTTTTGTCAAAAGTTTTTTGTTAGAGTTTAGATCTTGTTGCATGTCACTGAGCCGTCTAACGCAGGGAACACAAAACTATGTTTCATGTGCGCTTATGTTCAGTGACGTCTGGAATGACTGTAGTAATTCTGTTATTGTATGATAAATTTTTATCTACTTATTCCTCTCTCTCTTTCTGTCAGATTTTTTTTTGTATTTAACAGTCCACTCACTTGCTCTTTGCCGTTCCTCCCTCTTTAGGTACATATCAGGGTCAGTGGACCGGTGGCATGCGTCATGGCTACGGTGTACGTCAAAGTGTCCCATATGGTATGGCCTCTGTCATCCGCTCACCTCTACGGACCTCCCTGGCTTCTCTCCGCAGTGAACAAAGTAATGGCACAGTACTACATGATAACCTGTCTGATAGCCCTGCCGGCACACGCGGTGGCTTTGTGCTCAACTTCCACTCCAATGGAGAGGGTTCAGAGAGGAAGAAGGGTCTTTTTCGACGTGGCTCCCTCTTTGGTAGCCTTCAGCGACTGCGCAAATCAGACTCGCGCTCATCAATTTCCAGTAAGCGCAGCTCAGCACACAGTGATACCACCATGAGCCGCATCAGTTCCAGTGACGCCAACTCAACCATCAGCTTTGGAGATGGAGAGCCAGGTGATGACTACCTGCCTCTGGAGGACAATGTGGATGCCACCACCACTGAGTCCTACATGGGTGAGTGGAAGAACGATAAGCGCAGCGGCTTCGGTGTCTCTGAGCGCTCCAATGGCATGAAGTATGAAGGCGAGTGGTTGAACAATAAACGCCATGGCTACGGCTGCACAATCTTTCCAGATGGCACCAAGGAAGAAGGGAAGTACAAGAACAACGTGCTGGCCCGGGGCATCAGGAAGCAGCTGATCCCGCTGAAGAACACCAAGACTAAACAGAAGGCGGATCGAGCCATTGAGGGAGCAGTGAGAGCTGCAGCTATTGCCAGAACCAAAGTGGAGATTGCCATCTCCAGGTAAAGTGTCGTGTTTAAGAATCTCAGAAACCTAAAAATCACTATATGTCCCTTTTTTTCTAATGCCTTCAACTAAGTATTTGGGCCATATTCTGCCAATATAATTAATAGGGTGCTGTGGAGCATGGACAGAGAATGAAGGGTGAGCGTAATGGGGATGGCTTGAAGAGATCCCTGGCTGGATTGTTTTTGTACTATCACCATGTTCCCCCAGTCTCAACTGTTTTGTTCTGTCCACTGTCATTATATAGAAATGACAACCAAAACTATGAAAGACCGAAGTTGTAATGAACCAAAATAGAAGTATATTAAGTGGAGATTACTTGGTCTACTAAAATGTAGGCAGGTTCTTGATAATGCTTTCCTTTAATTTTTTCCCCATTGTGGATAATAGTTTATATCTTTACCCCTCTGTGGAGTGCTCTTGCCTGGTGAACAGCAGCTGGTCTGAGATTTATTGTGAGGTGCTGATGTAGTAGAGTTCTAGGCATTCAGCGTGTCCCTCTCTGCCGCGACAAGTGGCCACTTTCACCACGACTTTCATCATTTGTCCCACATCCTGCATGTGTTACAGCATAACGTCTATAGGTGGCGCTCAGCCTACACTCAAAGGTACAGCACCCCATGCACACACAAACCATCGCCCATTGGCTGCAATATGAATGCCTACTTATAAGTAAAGAAAAAGCCCTGTGGTTAGGCTTCATTTTAAACCGTGATTATATTGTGTGTGGATTGTGATGTTAGTTTAATATTTTGTAGACTTTCCTTCAGACTAATGAGCCAACCCTTGCTCTTATAAAAACCATGCTCCTAGAGTATGCAACTAAACTGCAAATGCAGATGAGTTTTGAAGGGAACATATGTGATTGTTGGATGTATAACGTAGCGCTGCAGCATTTTTTAGCCACACCTCCCCATATAGACTTCTTAGGCCACCATGTCTCCTAAAACATTTCTATGGAACTCTTTTTTTAGGGAGCATTTAATTGTTGGATATTATTCCGATGTAACATCTTATTGAATGAATGAAGCCCTGAATGTCTCTATGGACACAGTAGGTAACTGTAACTATTTGGAGTGAACAGCGAAGCTGCGAAACAAAGCTCTGGTACTTTAGATGCTTGAGTTCAAGTCTACTTTGCATTTTGGTTGACCCACTGCTAGGGTTCTTGATCAAGTGGGGGCAGTGTCAGTCACTGAGAAATGACACCTAACTCATGGTATTATATGGTGTTACCGGCGTGCAGCATGGAGCCCTCGGTCCTGAGCTTTATTTTAACCCCTCATCAGAAAAACAAGTGAAAGACTCAATTTCCAAATCTTTCTGCAATGAAATTACAAATAAAAAGCAACAGCTACCAGATGTAAGGATGTTCTCTCAGCCCAATATTTCAGCCAATCATATGTCTCGATGAGCCGACTCTGTTGAAGGCAGAGCTCAGTCAAGGCTGCACATTTACTCTGCTGGTAGTTGTTATATTTAACTGCATAGTTTATTTACCATGCTGGTCATTTTAATAATTATTCATGTAATCTATTTGTCTTCATTTTTTGATGGTGTGATTATGTGTAGGCTGTGTTCATGGACCTGCAAGGTGTGAACTACAGTGGAAAATGAAATGTAGTGTGTGACAATACGAGACGTGAAAGGGCTGTAACAGCGTGTGTGATCACTCTGCTGATGGGAGGCTGCCACAGACAAATACCATCATTGCTGCACTGTTTCATTTTTCAGTTGTCAAATTATCTTAATTTAGTATCACTTTCATTCCTGATGTTATAGCAGTATTGTGATGGGAGATGTGAGCGCACCTCTGAGATCATGTGTACATGTGTTCTGGTATTTCTGTGCAAAAGCAACTTGGTTTATACACGTCTCACAAACTCACGCTTGTGAGACTTTTTTTTGTAACAAAATAAAGTATTACATGATAGTTTAAGGATTTCCTTGAATGGCCATAAATCCAGGCCCTTGCGCGTTCATGTGAGTTTGCCTGACATCCACTGGTGCCCCCACCATATTGGCAAAATGTTATATTGCCTTGTTTGTTATCTACATTTTCAATAAAGCTTATAAAAAAAAAACATCTGGTGCCATGGTAAAAGCAGAATTTTGTGACTGTGCCCAGTTTTGTGGATATATTTTCCCTCCTGCTGCTGCACTGTGACCACTGTGATGTGGAGAAAAATACAGGGCCTGAGGTTACTACATGTCTGGGAATGTTCCTGTACAGGGGTACAGGGACTCACTCTTTTACCTGACCGGGTCTAACCTACAAGCAGCCGGCCAGTGAATCCCCCCGCAGCGGTGAATGATCAGCTGATCAATGCTGGATTCCCCTTGAGCACAGTACCTGTGGCTTGAGGCCAGCATGTCTGCTGCATGTGATGTGTTGCAGTTTAACGAGCGGATTAATGATCCATGATGTTATTGCCGGTGGTACACCACCTGTTGGAATTAAGTTCACTGCTTTGGGACCGTACTGTATGTGGTAGTGTGGGGGAAGACACAGTGACCACCACTTGGATTTACTGACCTTGGAGCTACTTGAAAGGGAGCAATGTTTCCACTACTTGGTGGTACTTAACGGTAAGTTAAAAAAAAAAACACACATTACATGTCTGTTAATGCCTTGTTTCTATAATGTTAGAGAGAATTGTTGTAAGGCTGGAGAAGTTACTACGTATTTCTGCATTATGCCAGTTAAAATATGGGGTTTCTCAATTACCTGCTTTGTTTATAGTGTTTTGCATATCTGTTTTCATTGGTATATATACCGTTGTTTACCTATCTATGAAGGAGAAATTCAAATTAATTAATGCCGCTGAGGTTGATTGTGCTGTCCACTTTTGACACAACACCAGCACATTAATGAACTGTCCTCTCCTTTTTAGGAAGAGGCTTTCTGGTTTTATCATTCTGAAATAATTACAGACTATTTGGAGTTAAGAGGGGTGCCAAGATAATCTAGAGGTACCCAAGATCAAACATTAAATGGCTGGAAATGAGCAAACTGGGGCAGCGCGGTGGGTAGCACCATTGCCTCACAGCGAGAAGGTTCCGGGTTCATGGCCTTTCTGTGCAGAGTGGATTCTCTCCAGGTGCTCCGGCTTCCTCCCACAGTCCAAAGTCATGCAGCTTAGGTTGACTGGTGACTCTAAACTGTCAGTAGGAGTGAGTGAGTGAGTGAGTGTGTGTGTGTGTGTGTGTGTGTGTGTGTGTGTGTGTGGTTTGTCTATGTGTTGGCCCTGTGATGGACCGGCGACCTGTCCAGGGTGTACCCCACCTTTTGCCTGATGCCAGCTGAGATTGGCTCCAGCCCACCCACCCCTTGAGCCCGTTCAGGACTAAGCGGTATGGAAAATGAGATGAGATGAGAGATGAGCAAACTGAGCAGCCATGGGCTGTTTAATATCTGTATGATGTATACAAACTCTAAAGTTGTGGGAGTGATTTCTTTGATTATGTGTTGCTGAACAACCACCCTGACTGTATTTGGGGATAAGAGACAAAAAGATAACAGAGGAACCTGTGCACATTCCTGTACACATGCTTGAGTACATAAAGACATGAACACACACAGGGTGTGAGTGGTGGTGGTAGAATATGGGGTATGGTATACACAGTCTTTGGAGGTTGTAGTGCAGCCAGAGCTGATGAATGCTGGTCAGAGCTCAGGAACGTTTGGAAGGGTTTCAGCTTGCGTCACTTTTCCCGTCATCTGTGCAAATGGTGGCGAGGGAGGGAAGGAGAGAGAGAGTGGGAATGAAGTGAGAAAACAGAGGGAGAGAGATCAAGAGAGTAGGTGAGTGGGCTTCAGAGAGAGAGAGACAGTGAACAAGTAGGCACATTCTTGGCTAAATAAATTGCCAGTTTGTGTGTGTGTGTGTTTGTGTTTGTGCATGTGGGTTTATGTGAGAGAGTGTGTGCTCAAGTGTAAGCATGTCTTACCTGTTTGTGTGTTTGTGCGTCAGAAGTAGTGCTTGTCTAAATAAGGCCAGGGAGGAGGATGCTTATGAACAGCTGACAGGAATACTGTCTCACACTGCCCTCACAGCCTGAGACGCACACACACTCACAGAGTCAGTGCTTTATCTGGTATATTCCTTGGTCAGTGTGGAAGAACAATCTGAACTCTGTTCATGACAGAGCTGACCTTTGGGCTAGTCGTCCCCAGTTTTGTTTCTCTTGTGGTTCTGTGTTGATTAGGTGATTTTCTAAATAGCACAACCATGACCAGTAAGATGATAAGACTGAGAGGGTAATCAATTGTAGGTGTCTTGTTATTAACCATTTGAATAGTTTAGTGGAGCACGTTTTTGCCTAATGACATTACCATGTCTGAAACAGTAACCGTAGGAACACAAGTGTTTCAAATGGTAAAATTCCTAGATTTAGATTCAGATCAAAATGTCCTTTATTATCCAACAAAGGAGGGAAATTGTTGTACAGCCAATAGTATCCATGCATTCAATAACATCAACACCATTAAAATTAAGCATGCAAGTACAACAGCAATAGTGACGATCAACCATAGTTGATACATAAAATGCTCATCAAATCAACTTCTCTAAAAAAAAAAAAAAAACAATGGCAACTGGGATAATAGTTTTTAAACAATTTGTATTGCTCACTGGCCTGTTATATCTGTGATCTGACAGCTTGAATTCTCTGTGCAAGGGGTGGTTTAGATCAGCCAGGATTGACAGAGTTTCCCTAGGATCCAGTCTTGTACAGGATAGAAATATGTTTTTAATCTGTTCCTTTTCTTCAGGGTTAAAGGATAAGATCGGTATTTTTTTTATATTAACAGCATTTTCAACTCTCCCCATACAGACTAAAACTGACAATGAATGAGTGAGTATGGAGGATGGCACTGGTGATGCAGCAGTAGCTGAGAACGTGCTGTGTAGTTTTATAAATACACCAAAACATTGTATTGTAATTTGAATGGAAAGTTAAAGTGCCAGATAGTCTAATCCTAAATAGCCTATAGCAGTCATCTTCATGGACTGTGCAAAGAAGCAGTTGATTGCAGTAGAATGAGGTGTCTCAGGAGCAGCTTTAAGCTGGTTCAAATGATTAAGCAATGGGTTTACGAAAACTAATATAGTTTTGGTTGCCCCTGAATTTTGCAATCAAGATTTCTTGAGTTGTATTGTGGCTTTTACATTTTAATTCAAAAATGAATGTAATGAATTTAACTTTTGGTTGTATAGACTATTAAAATAATTCTGCTCTGACCTCTCAAAATTTGTGTTCAACATAATACTTTATTATCTCAATGAAATCCTGAAACAAATGTGTATCTGACACAAAAAGGCAATTTATTATTTCTGCTGGTAAAAAATATGTTTGGTGAGTGGATTTTTTTTTCATTTGCCAGCCACTTTGGCTGATGAATCAGAAAGGTAATTTCAGACCCTGCTACTTCGATGACACAAATTTACAAATACTGTAACACTGTAGTGAGATCAGTAATCTTATTGAATTTGATAAAGCTTTGTCCAGATTAACCATGGTGTACGAGTGTGTTAGTTACTTGCTGGATGCTAAACTCAATGAGTCTAGATATTACATTTGTAAATTTTTGCAGAACGTCCCATGCTCGGGCCAAAGCAGAGGCTGCAGACCAGGCTGCTCAGTCAGCCGCTCAGGATTCAGAGATCGCCAGAGCTGTGGCCAGAGAGCTTTCTCCGAGCTTCCATCAGCCAGGTACTGTACCAGAAGCAAAAACACACAGTAGAGAAAGAATGATTGTTTTTATCAGTATAATATACACTGATCAGCCTTAACATACAGTGAAAAGAGTTCCATGGCTCAATGATGGCCATGTTGTCTGATCCCATAGAAGAGCTATTGTTGCACAAAGTACTGGAAAACGTAATGCTGGTTCTGATAAAAAGGTGTCAGAACACATTGCATCACAGCTTAGTCCGTATGGGGCTGCATAGCCGCAAACCAGCTGGAGTGTCCATGTTGACCCCTGTCCACCAGCAAAAGTGCCTACAATGGGCAAATGAGCATCAGAACTGGACAGTGGAAAAAGGCAGTCTGGTCTGATGAATCACATTTTCTTTTACATCATGTGGACAGCCTGGTGTACGTGCATCACTCACCTGGCGAATAGAAGACATGCACTATGGGAAGAAGACAAGCTGGCGGAGGTAGTGTGATGCTGCCATTCATGTGGATGTTACTTTGACATGTACCATCTACCTAAACAGACCAAGTACACCCCTTCATGGCAACGGTATTTCCTTTATGGCAGTGGCCTCCTTCAGCAAGATAATGTGCCCTTCCACACTGCAAAAATGGTTAAGAAATGGTTTGAGGAGAACAATGAGTTCACGGTGTTGACCTGGCCTCCAGATTCCCCAAATCTCAATACAGCTGAAACCATTACTCTGAAACTGAAAAATTGTGGTGACACAAAATTTTGCACCTCTACTAACCCATGTCTACAAGGGTCTTCAGTCAAGCTTTGCAATGACGAAACACATTGACTGCACAGAGCTGTGTGCATGACTGTTGGTCACCCTGTGTGAGCTGTTGTTCTTCATAGAGACCCTCTCACACGCAAACTACTCCAGCGCACATCAAAGATTGCTGTTTATTTAGCATCTTATTTGCTGAGTGTCCATGGGCTAACATACTCCTGTATATGCCTCCTGTATAAAGGGGCGACTGTGGTTCAGTGGTAGAACGGTCATCTCCGACCGGAGGGTTGGAGGTTTGAATCACGGTGCCTGCAGTCCACATGTCAAAGCGTCCTTGGGCAAGACACTGAACCCCCCAAGCTGCCCCCGATTGTTAGAGCTGTTGGTGTGAGTTGCCGCCACAGATAGCTGCCTCGGTTCTGTACCGGAAACAAATTCCTTGTGTGTGTAACATAGCCAAATAAAGGTGATTATCCGGATTATCCTTATCCTGCACCCTAGCTTCCTCCAACATAGCACTCAAGGTAATGTACTTTGTATGAAACACAGGAATCAAAGAAGACACTCTACTCTCTCAGCACGACTGTTTATAGTGAGAGGACACAGTAGTCAATGATTGTCAGTGCACGGTTCCAGTCACTGGAAGGAGCAGTGTTCTTATTCAGATCCAATTATCAAACAGGAGTGTGTAATCAAACTGTCCTTTATACCAGACAGTAACAACCAGTAATATCTGGCTATCTGTCAGGTATCACCTAGCTTTCTTTGGTCATATTTCTGCTGTCATTCCAGGTCCTGACTACATAAGGCAGAAGTATAATGAGCCAGTAGAGGTGAAGGAGGTTCCTGTGGAGGAGAAAAAGGAGAAATCTCCCTCAGGGAGCCCTCATTTCTACCGTAAAGGAACAACACCTAACCAGTCTCCATCTCAGAGCCCAGAACCCAGCCCTTCTCCTTCTCCCACCGCACCTAAAAAAACCTTTTTTAGCAGCAAAACTCCTGCCAGCGTCCCTCCTGCAAAGCCTGCTGGGAAAGACAACAAAACCCCGACAGCTGAGTCTTTGACAGCAGGTAACCACCAGGTCTTTCTCATGGCACATGCTTGAAGTGAAATAGATTCATATGTATGTATGGAGACTCAGGCCCCTTTCAGACATGCACCCCTAGCCAGGAATTTGCCAGCTACACTGTGTGCACAATTATTAGGCAAGTTGTATTTTTGAGGATTAATTTTGTTATTGCACAACTACAGTGCTCTTGGTCAATCCAAAATGTTAACAAACCCTCAAACCTGAACATTTAAGTAGTAAAAGTGAAGTTTTGGCTTTCTTAAGAGAAGATCTACATGTG